GCAGGCTTATTGATTATCCCTGTTTCATTTAATTTTCTGGGTTTTATCTTGTTCTTTCATTTGGAACATATTCTTCTGTCTCCCCATTTTGCTTGACTTTGTTTCTATGAATTAGGTAGAACAGCTGTTTCTCCTAATCTTGAAGGAATGGTCTTGTGTATGGTCATCCCCTGTGCAGATTGTGTGCCTGGTAACTTTGGCTGGTTGCCTGGAGCTGTGACTGGCTTGGGGGTCCCTGGACACTCTGCTGGGGCAATCCTGGGGCTCTCTGCACAGAGAGTGCCCTGGTCAGCTGAAGCTGAAGTGGGCATGGGCTGGGACAGTCTCTGGGTTCTCCGTGTAGAAGCCATCTTGACAAGATAGCTGAAGCTGAAGTGGGTGGAACTCAGGTTGTCACAGGGTTTTCCACACACCCGGCACCCTGGCAGGTGTGTTTTTCCTTCTACAAGGAAGAATCCTGGGAGTACAGCTGAAGCTGAAGTGGGTATAAGCCAGAGTGTGCTCAGCACAGGGGGGTGCCCTAGTAGAGTGACTGGAGCCAAGGCCGGTGTCAAGCAGGGTGTCCCAAGACAAGGTGCATAGGTGGCACCTTAGTGGGGTGGCTGAAGCAGGTGTGAGCCAGGAGGCCACCTGGAGCCAAAGTGGTATGGGCCTGGAAAGTTCTGGGGTGGCTTATACCTGTTGCACCTTGGTGCAACCACTGGGGCTATACATAGTGAGCACTTAACTAGGAGAGTCCCAGTGTTTGTCAAGCTGGGGCTACCTTGGTGAGACAGCTAGGGGTGGGATGGGCTAGGGATTGGGGGCTCACTGAGGGGGTAAGGCCAGCTATGGCACCTGAACATTGCTCCCATCCACACTATCAAGGTGGTAGGGGAATGTAAACCGTGGTGCTCACCAGCTCCTCTGACCTGGAGAGTTCCAGCAGCTCCCTTGCCATATGATAGGATTCTAGGGCTAGTTCCTTTATATCTATTTGCTCTTTTAAACCGTTGTTTTCTGTGCTCCAGAGCTCACAAATCTGCTCATAGTCCTTCAGTACTACCCCTCCCCACTCGTGTGTGTCCTGGGTGGGGGTTCCCTTCATTACTGTCTCTATCCTTCTTGACATTCTTTATGTGGTCTTTTGTGCCGAAGCTGTTTAGTCCTCAGTTTTTCAGGAGGAATTGCTTTACATATTAGTGTAGATTTGGTGCGTGAAGATGAGTTCAGGATCTTCCTACATAGCCATCTTGGACCAGAGTCCCAATTATCTTTTTCATTGATAAGGAGTTATTTAAATAATCTGGATAGAATTTGTCAGTATTGCAAACTTTGGGGGTTGCCTTCTGACTCTCCTACTCATATATATAGATGATAAAAGTAGCCTGATCAATCAGTCTTCCTTTATGATTAGTAGGTTTTTGGTTTTTTGGTCCTATTTACCAAATCGTTGTTTACCACAAAGACAGGAAGCTATTTTCCTATGCTATCTTCTAGAAGCTTTATCTTCCATATTTAAGTTTATAATCCATCTGGAATTGATTTTTGTGCACGTGGATCAAGATTTTTCCCCCTTTGGATGTTCATATTGATTCCACACATTTACTAAAAATCATTTTTCCTTATTGCATTAATTATCATAAACTAGATAGCTCTATGTTGGTCTATTTCTGAACACTATTCCATTGGTCTATTTGAATATCCTTGTGCTAGCAGTATCACTGTTTTAATTATGGTACCTCTATAACGCGTCTTGATAACTAGTGGTGTAGTCTTCTAACTTCACTATTGTGCTTTAAGATGGTCTTTGCTATTTTTGGCTCTCTGTATTTCCATGTAAGTTGTTAGCCCTCCCACCTTACGTCCTCACCCAAACCATTAGGATTTTAATGGATTGCATTCAATCTACATCAATTTGACAGGAATTAACATCTGAAAAACAGTTCTAAACAATAAACATGTATATTACTATTCAGCTCTTTTAAAAATTTCTCAGTAATGTTTTATGCTTTTTCTGTATAGAGCTCTTGTACATCTTTCATTAGACAAATTAATTCCTAGTTATCTGACAGCTTTTTAAATACTATATATATATCTTCATTAAATGCTAACTTATGTGTTGGTAGCTTATACAAATGATTTTGTACATTGAGCTTACCTCTAGTACCACCACTAAAGACACTAATTAGAAAGAAAAGCCAAAAGGATCTGTAAAAAACCCAAGTGGGAAATCAGTGAATTAGTTTTATTTCTCCAATCAATCCTTGTACTGTTTGGGCTTTTTGTTGTTTTGTTTTTTACTTTGCATGTAAGGCTATAGATTTCCATGTAAGCAGTGCTTGACCTGTACCCACAAATTTTAATATTTTCCTAACAAAAAACCTTGAAAACTTAAGAACTTGCAGGGAATAATGCCAGGGATAGAATCAAGGGATAGCATAACATTAAAAAAGTGAATAAAAGGGTTGGAAGATAAAGTTAAGGAAGTCCCTTATGAACAAATGGGAAGAGATGTTAAACAGAGGAAATAAGAGGATAAATCTAGGAGGTCCAACACCTGAATAAGAAAAATTCCAGAAAGAGGACAGAGAATGAGGAAGGGAGGAAACTATGAAAGAAAAACACTAAAGGACTTGAACTTTCCAGAATGAAAGGATGAGAATTAGCACAATGGATGGGGGGGGGGGGAGACATCATCAGGAAATTTAGGATTTTCTTTTTATTTCTGGAGTTTTCTAAAATCTTCAAAAAAAAAAGACTACTTGTTAATGGATTGAAAATTAAAAGACTTATCCTAAATTCTGAGGGAAAACTGTTTTCAAGCTAGAAAATTCTAGAACTAGCCAAACAACCCTATTAAGGGAGGAATAGACATTTTCTTGTGAGATTTCAAAATTTTACCTCTAAGTACCTGGAAGATGGGCTCATCAAAATGAGGGAATGAGCAGGAAGATCAAGGACACAGATGACTGAACATAAGAGAAGCTCCAGGAGGACTGCTATGCAGCACACTTAGCCAGTAACCAATTCACACTGAAAGAAAAGGAAAAGGGCATGAAAAAGTCTATCTATAGGAGGAAAAGAAAACAGTGCTAATAGAACAGGATACCTGATTAGGGCTAGACAAGTAGAAAATAAAGAGGTTTTATAATCTTGGGGAAAATGTGTTAATTTCAGGAAGAACAAAAGTTGCACAGGAAATATAACATACTAGTTAACCAGTGAATAAAAGTCCTAAGTTAAACACTGAATATAAATTTAACAAGAAAGATATTACTATACTAGGAGGATGAAAAGGAAGAGGTAAAGGTAACTCATGGGTGAGTTAAAAGTACAAAATTCTCATCTTCTATAACAAGTTAACAGATAATGAATAAAGCCAATAAATATGTAACAATATATCCCTCTTTAAAAAGATGGAGGTAAAGACTAGAAGAAACTGCTAAGAGTTGGAGAGATGGACTATTACTCAAATTTTCAAACTATTATTGGATAACTTACTTGTCAATCCTTTTTCAATGTCCAAAGAAATTTCGGCCACAAATTATCTACCTAATTGCATTTAGAATAAAAAAATCAAGTCTTTTAGAAAAGCTGGGAAAACTGCAGGCAAAAAAACCCCCAAGAACATATATTCAATCACAACTGCAAATGTCATATACAACTCAACACAAAACCTCTAGAAGTACTTTAAATTATAAACTTTAACAAGGTTCAATCATACTTATTTAAAATTTTATTCATCAGTCTTAATTAAAATAAATTTACCATAGAGGAATATAGTACAAGTTATTTTTACTGCACATGACCAACAGTACAAATACAATACTCAAATCTTAGTATATTTTTAAATATATTAGATGTGCACAACAATAAAATAACCTACTTTAGAGATGCACTTTTCATTCTATCAAATATAAGGCTCACATGAGACCATAACAAAACTTACTCTGTTCAAGTGCCCAGGGACAAGGCAAAGCAGTCAATTAACCTTTTAAAATATCTATGAACCAGAACAGTTTTGAGTTTCATAAGCCAAAGACTACTGAGGAATATTTTAAGACTGAGTAGAATCTGGTGGCAAAGAAATTAAGGAGTTTGGGGGAAAAAACATAGTTCAATATTAATAGTACAGTATATCTGCCAGGTTATAGGTTTCCTGTGCACAACCAGGTTAATATGAACATCTTTAAAACATGAATATTGAATTTAGTACAATTTTATAGTGTACCTAATTATAGTAGAAAAGTAGATACCTGATGAGAATGCTTTTTTGAAACAGCTTTTTTTAAATAAAATAGGGTCTTTAAAAGAATCCAAACCAATACTGTAATGCAGGGTCTTGGAAAATATATTAACTGCAGAAATGCCCACAATTAGAAATGGTATCTGCCAATATGGTAATTGAAATGGTATGGCAATGTGAAATGTTAAAAGGAATGATAATGTAAAATATGAAAACGATGATAAGATCATTTTTACTTCAAAACCTAAAGTAAAAATAAAGGGTGGTGAGCTCATTACTTTACATATGTTATAACTAGGAATTGCTACCTCCAAAATATTCTCTCAATGCTTGTTTTTGAATTGCCCATATTTGACAGATGCTATGTGTAGAATAAAACTAGGTTCTCTGAAAAGAAAAAGCCTTGGTCTAGGAAGTACCCATTATCTACTTACAAATTTAATTAAATATGGCTTTGGGAACTAAAGAAAATTTTTTCCAAAAAGTTAACTAATTAAGAATGCTTAAAGTACAATCAAAATTTCAGAGGCTCATATACACTTAGAAATTGCTAACTATTTCAGTTGATGTGACTGATACCTTGTCTCAACTACCTGTGTATTTTTCCCCAAAGTATACTCTTACACGCAGAATTTTTAAAACAATGAAATATTTCAGCTATTCTTTCATACCCTATCTTAGTAAAATATACAACAAATTTTTTAATCTGGATATCAAAGACAATTTAAATGAACCGTATTATACATCTGAAATAAATGTCCTAAATTTTATAACACCATCAGTGTGTCAGCAAATATGGGGAAATGCAGCTGTGACTGAATATGTGGGGCGGTTGCAATTACTCTTCATCGTCTCTTTGAAGTGGTATCACCTGAATTTCTTTGGCTATCCTTTCTGCTAATGTTTTACTATTTGCAGCAATTATTCTTCGTGACATCAAGTCAAATGGCCCACCTAAAATCAAACCAAACATAATTCCTGTAAAACTAGTACAGCAATATGTACTATGGTCAATCATAACATTTTAATACTTTCAGTTTTCTTTAAAAAAAAAAAAACTGTCATAACCATACTGCTTAAGCTTTGGCAATACATGAATGAGTTTTAAGAATCTTTTAGAGAATACCAGGGTTTTTTGGGGGGTGGGGGGTGTCTCAATCATACTAGTCTGAAAAATGCCATTTTTTTTTAATTTTTTATTTATATTCGTTAGTTAACATGCAGTGTAATATTAGCTTCATCTACTTCTTTCCTGTGTTCGTTTTCTAATCTTTTTGTTACTTTTATTACCTCTTTCATGTTTGGGAATCTATGGACAGGAAATTTGACTCCACAGCACAGCATTTTCGTATCTCTCCTTCCCACTTCCTTATTTCTTCATTGCCTTTCTCCCAGATCACAGGTGAATACCTTTTGGCCCAGGTTCACTCTTCACTTTAAAAAATTTCACCATCAGTTCAAAGCAAGAAGTTAAACTCTCTAGGCCCAAGGCAGAAAGTGATGGTGGGGGACGTTCATTGTCAACCACCCCAGTCACCAAAAAGCTCTTGGTACAAACCTCAGATTCAGTGACCTTCTATAATTTTCCAAAAGCGTCTCAAGACTTCCCGATACTCACAGGTTTGAAGAGGCTTAGTCATTTATCATTATTATTCCCACATTACAATTAGCTGCTTATCCTTGCCTCACTCAATTTGTTATTCTGATTTTGCAGAAAATTACATGGCTTATTTTTGTTTGGCCTTTAAAAGTTTAAGTGTAACATATATTAAACATTAAAAGAAAAAAGCCACATATAAAGGAAAGTACCAGAGAGAAAAATGCTTTACTGTCCCATAATTTTACCTGTCACATCCATTAGTACTCCACCAGCTTCAGTAACAATAATGCCAGCTCCTGCCATATCCCAGCAGTGAATTCCCATTTCATAATATGCATCTGCAACTCCAGTTGCCACAAGGCACATATTAACAGCTGCTGTCCCAACACCTCGGATCCTAACAAATAACATTTAAAAATAAGATTAAAAAAATCCTTCAAAAAGGCTCCTCCTTTAGTTTAAGTGTTGAGAGAATTTGCAAGTAAAAAAAAAGGAAAAACAAAAAAACTTATTTAATTTTAAAATAAAGATACATAAAATCTAATTATGATACACTATACAGATGACAAAATTAATCCCCACAAAGCAATCATTTAGTAAGATAAACACTAAAAGATATTTTCGGGAAAAAAAAAGAATGCCATCATTCTTCTATATTGGCATGCATGTATATTCTGTATCAAATTAAGGTAAGTATGGACACTACTCTGATGAGCCATTACAATAATAACTGATTCAAGAAAGAATCACCAATAAATGCCAAAATGAGCAAGAGCAAGATTGGTATTTACATAATGTCAAAGTATCTCTCCCTAAGATACATAATACATGCATATATCATTTTATTGTGCTTTGTTTTATCACACATCATTTTTTTTTTTGTTTTTTGTTTTTTTTTTTTTTTTTTTTTTTACAAACTGAAGGTTTGTGGCAACCCTGCATCAAGCAAATCTACTGGTACTTTGTGTCTGTCACATTTTGGTAATTCTTGTAATATTTCAAATTTTTTCATTATTTGTCATGTTGATCAATAACTCACTGAAAGCTCAGATGATTAGCTTTTAGTAATAAAATGTTAAAGTATGTACATTGCTTTTTTAGACATAATCCTATTATACATTTCATATATCGTGGTATAATATAAACATAACTTATATGGACTAGAAAAAAATGACTATGAAAAAATTCATTTTACTTGCTTTGAGATAGTCGCTTTATTGCTGTAGTCTAGAACCAAACCTGCAATATCACTGAGGTATGCCTGTACCTATAATGGGAAAGCATCCGTATAATGGTCTACCCCTATCAAGTGATCTAACTTATCATCACCAATAATGGGACAAAAAGGTATCAAGTGCCCCCTCCTCTGATGCACTGAGAGACACAACATTGCTTCTCTGGCATTCCTGCCAAAAATGTGTAACTCTAATCTTGAGGAAACCAGACAAACCCAAATCAAGAGACTTACTATAAAATAATTAGCCTACATTTTTCAAAAAAAAAAAAAAAAAGACCAAGACTAAGCAACTGTTCCAGATTAAAGAAAATTGATGAGAAATGATAATTAAATGCAATGTTTGATCCTGGATTGAAACTTGGATCTGATTTTTTTCCAAAATTTGAATAAAGTCACTATATCACTGTTAACTTCCTGATTTTTACAACTGTATTATGTTAGGGATCATCCCCTTTATTAAAGGAACACAAACTGAAATATTTAAGAAAAAGCATTCATCATGTCTGCAAATAATTTTCCAATGACTTTTACTCAAACTCCTTTTGTAATTATTTAAACCACTGCATATAAGACAGTGAGATCTGTTCACTGAAAAGGAAATAACATGAGTTGGGGGAGAGCAGGAAGATGGAGTGGTAGGAAGATCCTGCGCTCAACTCCTTCCACAGACACACCAAGATAACAGCTCTATTTGTGCAAATCACTCTGAAAAATGACCCAAAGTCTGGGAAAACAGACCTTCCAAAGTTAACTGTGGAGAGACCACATCAAAAAGGGCAGAAGGGGACAAAGATGCAGTTGGGAATCAAACCCTCCTGGTGAGACTAACCACAAACAAGAGGGATATCCAAGCGTGGAGAAGTGAGCTGATCAGACTCCATGCCAGGTACCCCAGGCACTAGGGAAACACACTGGGAAGATGAGCTCCCATAATATTTGGCTCTGATAACCAGTGGGGCTTAACTTCAAAAGCTGTTAAAATTACGGTTTAACTCCAGGTACTTTAAAAAATTAGGCTTAGCTCTGGAAGAGCTGGAGGACAATGGGAAACCGTCTCTGCCCTAAAATAAGCCAAAATAACCTATAATAAATAGCCCATCCTAGACACAGCATAGAAACAGCTATTTGAAAAGTGCCTGTGGTATACACAGAAAGATTTATTTACTAATCACTGAACAAGTGCTGGAGGGGCAGGAATCTTCAGGAAACTTCCCCAAGAACAAAAGTGTAGCCATGCACCACTTCACTTCATATCCCCCGGCCTAAATAGCCTGACACATGTAGGAACCCATGTAAACCCTCTCCACCTATTTTGCTAGCACTGCATAACTCACCCTCACATTCACCTTCAGACCCACCCATACAACCCCCCACCCTACAACTTGGTAGGGGTTCCTGAAAAGGATCTCCTGCCCACCACGTCCTGCAAGCAACCCCAGCAGGGATCAGCGCCACTCTAAAGTGATTCTTCCCTGGGTAGAGGGGGGATAACCCCACAGACCAGCACACCCACAGTTCCAGCAGCCAAACCTTTTAGCTGGCCACCCAGGGAGAATGCCCCACACTCGGGGTGCCTACAGCTATAGCAGACAGACTGGGTATAGATATCTAGTCTGACTGCCCACCCCTCCCACCAAAGATAGCCTCCCAGGGAGCCCTGCAGGGAAAGTGCCCTGACCTCTTGCCCTGCCATAGCTAGGGCAAACTAGATGCAGACACCTCCCACATACAAGCATGCAGTGGTCTCAAGCCCCTCAATGGTGCAGGACCAAAGCTGGCATGTGCCTACAGCAGGCAAAGTAAGATAGGTCATTGTAGCCAACTGGACTGAAGGCAAATGTGACTGAGCCACAACAGTAGGGTGCACAGAGCCCATAGAGACGATACCCCTGGAGTGCCTGGTTTTGATGACATTGGGCTACAGGGCACCGCAGAACCTTTTCTTCACAAGGCCACTACTTTTTTTTAAAATGTTTTATTTATTTATTTGACAGACAGCGAGAGCAGGAACACAAGCAGGGGGAGTGGGAGAAGGAGAAGCAGGCCTCCCGTGGAGCAGGGAGTCTGATGTGGGACTCGATCCCAGGACCCTGAGACCATGACCTGAGCCGAAGGCAGTCGCTTAACGACTGAGCCACCCAGGCGCCCAAGGCCACTACTTTCAAGACCAGGAGACAGTTAACCTTCCTAATATACAGAAACAGCGAGTTAGACAAAATGAGGAGAGAAAGGAATATGTTCCAAATGAAAGAACAAAAAATCACAGAAAAAAGCTAAATGATATGGAGATAAGCACTATGCCTGATAAAGAAGTCAAAGTAATGGTCATAAAGATACTACTTGGGGGGGGGTAGATCTCAGATCTTCAACAAAGAGACAAGAAATATAAAAAAGTACCAATCAGAGATGAAGAACTCAATAATGGAGGAAACACACACACACTAGAGGGAATCAACAACAGAACAAAGGATGCACAAGAACAGATTGGTGATCTGGAAGACAGGATAATGTCCAGCAACCAAGCTTAAGAGCAAAAAAGAAAAAAAAGATAAGAAAACTCCATGATTTCATCAAGCATAATAACATTAGTGTTCTAGGGATCTCAGAAGGAGAAGAGAGAAAGGAGCAGAAAACTTATTTGAAGAAATAATAGCTGAAAACTTGCCTAACCTGGAGAAAGAAACAGACATCCATATCAAGGAGGCAGAGACACGCCAACAAGATGAACCCAAGGAGATCCATATCTCCCTACATTGTCATTACTTTCTGCCATGTTAATTATGAAAAATTTTAAAAGCAGCAAGAGCAAAAAGTTACATACAAGGGAAATCCCAAACAGCTACCAGGTGATTTCTTGGCAGAAACTTTGCAGGCCAGAAGACAATGTCATGATATATTCAAAGTGCTTAAAGGAAAAAACCTGCAACCGGAATACTCTATCCAGCAAGATAATCATTCAGAATAGGAGAGATAAAGAGTTTCACAAACAAAAGTTAAAGGAGTTCATTACCACTAACCGATCCTTACACAAAATGTTGAAAGGAATTCTGAGTGCAAAGAAAAGGCCCTAACAGTAAGACAATTATGAAAGGAAGAAATTTCACAAATAAATGCAAACATGTAATAAAGGTAGGTAAATCTCTTATAAAACCAGTACAGAGATGAAAACACAAAAGCAGTAAAATGAATTCTATGTACAAAAATGAGTCAAGGATACACAAGATAAAATATATATACATTTAGAGGGGGCAGAGCAAGATGGCGGAGGAGTAGGAGACCTGGATTTCGTCTGGTCTCAGGAATTCAGCTGAATAGGGATCAAACCATTCTGAACACCTACGAACGCAACAGGAGATTGAAGAAGAGAGTAGCAACAACTCTCTGAACAGAGAAGCGACCACTTACTGGAAGGTAGGACGTGCGCAGAAGTGAATCCGAGGCGATATTCGGGAGGATAGACGGCGGGGGAGGGGGCCTCCATCGGCCGCTTCTAGCAAGTGATACAGCCACGGAGCACAAAATTGGAACTTTTAAAAGTCGGCTCCGCTGAGGGACGTCGCTCCAGTGGCTAAGCAGGGGGTGGAACCTTCGCGGGACAGTGTGGTCTCAGGACCCTCGGGGTCACAGAAAGACCAGGGGTGCCTGAGTGCAGCAGAGCTCCCAGGTATCGGAGCGGGGAAGCCGGCTGCAAAGACGGAGCTGAGGCGTGGTTCTCAGCTCGGGATTGCCATTAAACTGTGATCCGCGGCCCAGTTGGGCCACTGCTCCTCCAGCACGGACCCAACAAGCGGCAGAGCCGGGGAGACTCCCCTTCCACCCCCTGGGATGAGCGGTGCGGGAGCGCACCGCAGGGATCTGCTGGGTTTGGAGACTCCACACGGGGTCGGGTGCTAGAGATAGAAACGCTCGGTCACAGGCCAGGTGAGCACGGAGTGCGGCTGGAGACCGGGGACATGGGAGTGACTGCTTTTCTCTGGGGGCGCACTGAGGAGAGGGGCCCGGAGTTCTCAGCTCCTCCGGGCAGAGATTGGGAGGCCACCATTTTCACCCTGGTCCTCCAAATTTGTGCTGAGAGCTTGCAGGGAACAAAAGCTCCTGAGAGCAAACCCAAGCAGCTTGCTTAGCCCAGACCGACAAGGGCGGGGCAATTCCGCCTCCAG